AAATCTCATCAAAATTAATTAACACATAGTATCATCCAAATCCACTGAGAATTGAAAAAGAATTAAGGAACACACCCACCAAATTCATGTAAAAAATCTTCCTTTGATAGCTAATATAAAATCTATGCAATACTCAAACCGATTAACTAATAAACAATTCTTTCATACTCACAATTCCAAAAAACAATCAGAGCACTAGGATCTATATTTCAACTTCAACAACATAATCGAACAAGCTAATGAGACTCTCAAGATAATTAAGCAAATCCGAAACAGAAACAAGCAAGGATTAAAGGACCAAAAAACAAAAACATAAACTCAATTACTAGCAGAGATTTAGAGAGCAAAAAGGGTCGGTCTTGTTCGAAATTGACAAGAAGAAATCAGATTCAGCGGAAGCAGAAAATAGAGGTAAATTCCCAACTAGATGAGCAAAAAATCAAACACTTAGCCCAAAATCTGTAATACCCATGATCCNAAATCAAAGCACCGAAGGAATTGACCTAAATTACATCGTGAAGAAAAAGAATCGAATTGNTTACCCCCAGAAATTTGCTTGCACCGCGATCAAACCTTGTGATTCTNGNGAGTCTCGTACCTTGAAGATCGAAACGCGATCGTCGTGCTGACTTTGTAGGCGTGGAACCACCAGGGAATCGACTTCTGATGACAATTTTAGGGTTCGTGTGTTTGTTGTGATGAAAGTGGTGTCGTGCCTCGCNGTGGCNTCCGACTTCTGATGACAGTTTTAGGGTTCGTGTGTTTGTTGTGATGTTTTAATTTTTAGGGAACAAAACTATTAAANTCAGATTTATTTTTTTAAATAAATATAAATGGCATTTTGGATAATATGATAAAGTTTATAATGTGAGAGGTCTTTTTACTTAAAATGTGAGTTAAACTAGTAATTTTTTTTTTGGGTGGGTTAGTCTAGTTATTTTTTTATAGTTTTGAGTCATTTTGAGTAATTGTCACTACTTTTATTATCGATTTCTTTTCAACCTCTCTTCTACATTAGTCTTTGGCTCTCTTTATATAGAAGAAAACTTTAGGGTTTACATTGGAATACTCTAGAACTTCTGACAGATGTCAGTCATCGGCCTCCTCTCCTCTCAAAGCTACAAATCTGTTGGATAAGATCAAGCCTGCGTCCGTATGCCTCGTTGTACTCGCTGTACCTTTTCCTTTTGCAGCTCTGGTTTTGTCTTCTTCTTTGCTCAGAGACGACCGTTGGAGATCATCTTCAAACACATTTGGTTTGGTCGTGGGCTTGGGCCTTGTTAAGTTGGGTTCCTCTGTCTGAGATGGAGTCTTTCTCGATGCTTCACAAAAATCTTTTGTGCCGAGATCCTCTGTCTCAGTTGGAGACTTAGATGTTGTTCTAACATCCCCC